GGCGGCGCCGGGCTCGGCCGCCCACGGCCCCGCGGCCGCGCCGGGCCCCCGCAATTACCCGGTATTTATACCCGGCCGGACGCCGGGACCTCGCCAGCGCGGGGGGGACACGGGGCGGGGGGGCTCCGTCCCCGGGCAACCGGCCAGCCACCGTCCGTGTGTCCATCCGTCCTCCTCTCCATCCCTCCTTCCCATCTCTGCCTCATTCACCCGTTTATCAGCCGGGCTCAGGAGCTGACGCGAATTTGAGGGGGTTCAGCCCCTCTGTCCCAAGTTTGGGGGATCTCAGCCCCACCACGACACGAGTTTGGGGGGTCTCAGCCCCCTGAGATGAGCCCGGGAGTCTCAGCCCTCAGAGGCTGCAGGGCCGGAGGTGTCCCTGTCCCCATCGCGGTCCCCAGAGCCAGGGAACGGCCCCTGCCCAGCGCGGGGGTCCCGGCAGTGTTGTCCCCCCGGGGGCACCGCAGCCCCTCGGGCTCGGGGGAGCAAGAGGCACCAGCCCGGGTGACCCCCGCGTCCCGCAGCCCTCACCTGGCGCGGTGTCCCCCGTGTCCCCCGGCCCGGCCCTGCCCCGCCCGCCCTCTCCGGCCCCCGGATGTTTCCCTTGCGGTCGGAGGCCCCGAAATAGCGCGGCCCCCGCGCTGGGTGCGCCGGCCACGGCCGCCCACGGGCCCCGCGGGACCGGGGGGGCCCCGAGGGCCCGGAACAGGGCTGAGCTCCCCCCCGGCACCACCCACGGGGGGCACCCCGGTGTTCGGAGCCCCCCCGGCGTCCCAGAGATCCCCCCCACCAAGGTGGGGTCCGCGGGGCAGGAGGAGAGGAGGGGGAACAGGGGGGGACGTGTGGGGACATGGGGGGGATGGAAGCAGGGACCTGCAGGGACAGAGGCACCGGAATGGGGCTGGGGGCTTCCCACCCACGGGGAAGCCAGAGCAGGGTGGCCCCAGGGCTGAGCTGCACCCACGGCCCCGGTGTTTCCTCCCACCCTTTAATTATCCCGGAATTATCCCTGGAAATAACCGCGGGGGCCGCGGGGGGGCACCGAGCCGGAGGGACCCCCGGCGGGGACAGCCGGAGCCTGGGACAGCCGGCACACCCCGGGGGACAGCGCTGCCCCTGGGGGGACACGGGTGGCCGTGGGGGGACAGAGGTGACCGCTGGAGGACAGGGGTGGCCCCCCGAGCCTGCCCGCGGCCCCGGCTCCCCCCGTGCCCCCCCGCCATGTGGCTCCCATTGCGCTGCGGTGCCGCAGCCACATCAGAGCGGCGGCAGCGGGGGCGGCAGCGGGGCCGGACCCCCCCTCCGGCTGCTGAAGGACCCCCCCAGGCTGCCGAGGGGACCCTCCCAAGCTGCTACCGCGCCCCGTGTCCCCCCCAAGCTGCCAGGGACTCCCCCCGCCGCTGGGACACCCCCTCCCCCGATATCCTGGGACCCCCCCCAGGCTGCTGCCAGCGACCCCTCCCCAGCCCTGAGCCCCCCGGGTGTCCCCCCCCGGTGTCCCCAGCCCTGTGACCCCCCCGGGCCCCCCGCCCGTCGCTGTCCCCGGGCCGGTCCGCCCTGGCTCGCGCCGCGCTGCATTTCTGCGGTTCCCAACCCAAAATTGCTGGGAGTCGCCCGGCGTCGCCCTGATTCCTCCGCGGCCGCGACCTGCCGGGGGGGGGACCCAGAGGGACAATCGGGGGTGGCAGCGGGGGTGGGGCACCCCAGGCTGGCCCCGCTGCCCCCCCCGGCTCGCCCCAGTGCTCCCAGTTTGCCCCAGTCCAAGGCTGGGGGTTCCTCTGTCCCCTGAGTGGGCAGTGGGAGGGGGGACAGGGACACGGATGGGGACAGGACAGGCTTGGCGACAGCAGCAGGGTGAGCGCAGGGACAGTGGCAGGGCTGGGGACACTTTTGGGGACACGGGACAGGACAGCACCCTGATGTGAGAACCAGGGACACGGTTGAGGACAGGGCTGGGGACACAACAGGGCAGGGATGGGGGCACTGTTTGGGACAGGACAGGGCAGCTCTGGGGACACTGCTGGGGACAACACAGGACTGGGGACACTGCTGGGGACACTCTTGGGGGCAGGACAGGATCGGTGACAGGGCAGGACTGGTGACAGTCAGTGCCCAGGTCCCACGTGGCGGGTGACAGGACACGGTTGGTGACACTCCCGGTGCCAGTCGGTGCCCGAGTCAGTGACACTGTCAGTGACACTCTCGGTGACACTGTCAGTGACACTCCCGGTGCCAGCCGGTGCCCGGGTCGGTGACACTGTCAGTCGGTGACATTGTCGGTGACACTGTCGGTGCCAGTCGGTGCCAGTCCCGGTGCTCGGGTCCCGCCGTGGCGCCCCCGCCAGGCGGCAGCAGAGCCTCGGGCCGGGGGTGGCACCGCCCGGCCGCGACCACCGGGGGGCGCGCGGGGACACCGGGGAGGGGTCCCGGGGGACACTGGGGGTTAATGGTGGTACTGGGGACACCGGGGAGGGGTCCCGGGGACACTGGGGGTTAATTGGGGCAGGTCTCGATGGGGGAAATGAGAGGTTAATTGAGGTGTTAATTGGGGGAGCCCCGATGGGGCTCTGGGTGCTGATGGTGGGAGCTACTGGAGGGGACACGGACCCTGCTGGGACTAACGGGGTGAGGGGGCTTAAACGGGGGGAGGTCTCACGGGGACAGGTCCTGCCGTGCCTCCCTTGACCCGCCCGGCCCAGCATGGCCCCAGGTGACAGGATGGGGACAGTCACAGTGACAGGACAGGGACAGCCCCGGTGTCCCCCAGCCCTGGGGCAGGGCCTGTTGGGCCCCTTTTGTCCCCAGGTGCCACCACTGCAGGTCACGAGGGGACACCGAGCGACCCCAGTGGTCTGGGGGGAGCGGGACAGGGACAGAGCAGGGACAGGGACAGGGATGGGACAAGGACAGGGACAGGGCAGGGACAGGACAGGGACAGCTCGTCCCGAGCCCCATCGGGTGCGGGGGCGAGGCCGCGGGGCCTGCCCGGGCTGCGGGGCGGGAATTGGGCCGAAAACGCCGGGAAATGGGGAGGTCGCGGGCGGGGCGGGCGGGGTTGGTGCCGGAAAGCGAAAGCAGCGCCATTGCTGTCCGTGCTGTCCCCGGCCCCCGCTCGCCCCAAACCGCTCGCTTTGCTGTGAAATGAAGGATTTTGGCCCCAAACCCCGGGACGCCGCCAGACTCCGCAGCTGGCGTGGCCGGGGCGGGGGCGGCCCGCGCGCCCCGCGGTGTCGGGGCAGGGCTGGGCGATGTCTGACCGGGCTCCGCGCTTCACACCGCGCCGCGGGCCCTGAGGACGTGTCGCACCGCCGCGGCGGCTGTCGCGACATGGCCGAGCCGGCTTGCGGCACGGAACAGGGGCTCGGGGAGGGAAGAGCCGCACGAAACGCGCGGGACCGAGGGCGAGGGGAGCCTCGGCAGCGCCCGCGGCAGCCCGGCCGCGTCTGAGGGAGCCGAACCCAACATGGCGCCGGCTCCGCCATTCGCCGCGCCGTCCCCCCAAGGGCGCAGCCCGGCCGCTGGCCCCGCCTCCCCGCGGCGCCCATTGGCCCGTTTGAGACCGACCGGCGCGCTGATTGGCTCTGAGCCGCGCCGCGGCTGCCGCCTCCGCGCTGGGATTAGTCGGCGCTACCATCGATATCCGCTCCTCTCCCGCCCCGCGGCGCGGCCCGCGCAGCCGGTTGGTGCTGGGCGCTGTCAGTTACCGCCAGGCCCCGCCTGCCGCGCCCCATTGGCGGCGGCGCACGTTCATCACGCCGCGGCCCGCGCCGCCGCGGCCGCGCCCATACGGGGTCTCCCTGCGAGCCCGCGCGGGCGCCGATTGGCTGAGCCGCCGCCCGCCCCCTCCCC